CTGGAGGAGACTCTTGAGAGTCTCCTGGAATGCAAGAACAAACCTATCCGTTGTGAAGGAAATCAACCCTGAGTGCTCACTGAAAGGACAGATCCTGAAGCTGAGGCTCCAATACTTTGGTCATCTCATGAGAAGAGAAGACTCCTTGGAAAAGACGTTGATGTTGGGAAAGTGTGAAGGCAAGAGGAGAAGGGGACAACAGAGGACAAGATGGTTGGACAGTGTCATCGAAGTGACCAACATGAATTTGACACAACTCTGGGAGGCAGTGGAAGATAGGAGGGCCTGGCATGCTCTGGTCCATGGGGTCACGAAGAGTCGGACACGACTAATCGACTAAACAACGATGACAACAACCAACCCTAGTCAATGTTCCTTGACTAGGATCCTAATAGACAGTGGTGGAGTGTACAGCCCTCCTTGTAGATGTGTTGACCTTATGGGAGGAGAAATCATTAGTATCATTGCTGGACTGACTATTTGTGAAGCGAAGTCACCAGGATACCTCCTTGCACAAGTGTCAGAAAAGTCATACCATCTGCACTATGGTCACTGTGTGAGTGGTTTGACTTTACAGAACCATGGATATAGTGCCTAACCTTTGCTGTATATTTGACAGAAATCCCCAAGCATTATCCCTGTTAGTAAAAGCACAAGAGAGACAAAGCAAGCATTTATGGCTCTTTTTTAAAAATGAAACAAAAATAATCTACCTCACTAGGTGGCTGTCTCAGTCTGTGTCTAATGAGAGGTCTGGTTGGGTCTGTCTTATCAGAGGTGTGAACATGACTTTTTGGATTACACCCAGCATGACTATTCCCAAATTGGCTGGGATTGTGGGAAATATGGTCCAACATATGCTTATACCTCTATCTATACATATGTAAATAGAACTGTTCCAACCCTTGATTTATGCTTGTGTTGTTGTTGTTAAAGCTTCAATTGTTGCTAAACTGGTTTTTTTTTAAAAAGTCTACAGTACTTGCCATATGTGGGGGAAATTGGGGGAGGCCCTCCGTGCAGGGAAGTGAGTGGTTAATGTGTGTTCTGCAAAGTATTTGATAGATACACACCTCTAATATGTACAATCTTCCTTCTCTCCATGCTTGAGGAGGAAAAGTCACTCAAATATTGGCCATCTCTATGAATGAGTGTGTGGCTAGAAGAACCACATCACACACAGCATTGTCTGGGCAGGGGAATGGGGCCAGGGCCAGTTTTTCATTATACAAAAACTCTTACTGTCCAGGTTAAATATCTGAGCTCAGCCCAAGGCAGAACATGAATGACATCAAGTGAGCAGCAAGATGCCCTGATTCGTTTTGAATGGCCATAAAAATGCACAAACCACTCAGAAGAGAAGTCAACCGTGATTTATAGGTTATCGAGGTATCTTGTGGATGCATCTTGAAAAGAAAGAAGGTGGACAACGGGGGTGGGGGGGGAGAGAAGGTAAACCTGTTTTACAAAGAAGTACATATCAAGAAAAGAGAGAACAGGGAAATTAGTAAAGAAGATGAAGAAAAAGAAAGAAGTGGTTAGAGCAGGAAAGAGAGCAATCAATAAAATGCAGAGAAATGAGAGGCTGGAAATGAGAGCAAGGGAACTTGTAATCCTGTGGAAAGAACATTGCAATCAGTCAACTGATGAACAAGATACAGATGATGGGGAAAATGGAGACCTTAAAAACACTGTAATGGGTAATTGGGTAACAATCTGCAGATGGCTTATACCAAGGGTCTCAAACTCAATTTACCTCGGGGCCAGTGGAGGCAGAGTCTGGATGAGGCTGGGCCACATTAGATTTTCTGCCAAGCGGAGCAAGAGCCCGAGGAAGCTGCCCAGGGATTTCCTTAGCCCGGCTGGGGCTCGGAGGAGGAGAAGAAGAAGAAGGAAGAGGGGCGTGTGAGCCCTCGTCACTGGCCATGACCCCCTCCGGCTCCTTCTTCACTACCAGCAACAGCAGCAGCAGGATGAAGAAGCAGAAAGGGAGGGAGCACTGGCGACCGCCTAGCCAGAGGGAGGAGGGCATGATATAAAAATTTTTAAAACCCTCACAGAATTCGCCTTGCCAAAGGAGAAAAGCCCCCAATGGTACCCACGAAATTAAACCAGGGCGCCCCCCCACTGGTGTGTGCGTGCCCCCCACAGGTGTGCGTGTGCACACGCACACAAACACACACACACGGATATCCGGCAACCTTCGTCTGAGGGCCCCCCTCAAAAAAAAAGGCTCACTCAGCAGCAGCCGCTACTCCCACCAAGACAGAGGAGCAAACTTTGCGAGGCGAGCCCAGGCAGCCTCCAGAGCTGAGGCGGCTGAAGCAGGATGAAGAGGAGGAGGAGGAGGATGCATCGCCGGGCACTGAGGTGGCCACTGGCCAGGCTGGTGCTGGAGGTGCTGAGAGAGAAAGAGAGGGTGCAAGAGGCGCTGTCTTGGGAGAGAGCCGGCAAGCGAGGCTAGGCTTTTTTTATTCTTGACAACAGAGGATGCGTGGGTGCTTCGGGGGGGCAGAGAAGGCAGGGGCCACAAACTATCATCTGGCGGGCTGCAAATGGCCCCCGGGCCACATGTTTGAGACCCCTGGCTTATACTAAACTGCCTATTAATAAATGCTCAATTACTGTATCTTACTAGAATATTTTGTTGAAGAATTTTTATTTAAAATGGGGGGGCATTTCTAGGAATATGGTTGTTGCTTTAGCTAACAGAATATAAAGCAGGGGGGGAAACTCCCAAAATGTGGAGATATCAGCTCAGTCTCACAAAACATCCTCCCTAATTTGCACACAAAACTAGCACTGTATATGGTAAAAATCACTCTAGAAGCATTTAAAGTACAAGAAAAAACTATCTTTACTTACAGTAACCATCTGAAGTCACAGTCACATGAAAAAGGAGGGTGTCATGGTACCACCACATTCAAGGAATCCTGCTTTAACCACTCAAGCACAATACACTGTTAATCCTGGAGTTGGTGAGCCCAAGAGATACAGTGGGGTCTCGACTTACGAACGACCCTACTTGCAAACAATTCAACTTACAAACCTGCCCTATAGGGAAATAAGGACTCGATATACGAACTTCCCTCGAGTTACGAACAGGAAAAAAAGTGCCCCCTCCCTCCCCTTAGAGGCTTCTGGAGGGGAAAAAAAGGTCAGAAACTTAAAAATAAATAAAAGCAAGTCACTTACCAGGCCTTGGTAGCCCCCAAACAGCAGGAAAAAGAGCAGGAAACAGCTAAAAGCCCACACCAGAAGGGAGCCTGGCAGCCATTTTGTGCTTCCCCCCGCTCCTGCCCCCTCCTCTCCCTGCCTATCAGCTGATCGGCTGGCTCGGAAGAGGCTTGGGGAGGCTTGCTCAGCACCTAAAAAGCCTGCCTGTGTGTCTTTGTGCTGAAAAAATCAGCACAACAATCTTTAAAACATGAATTAAAATTGGCTTCGTTGAAAAAAGATTTCTAAAGTGCTTTGCAAACTGTTCCCTGTCTCCCCCCATCCTTTTCTGAACCTAAGGAAAAAAGAACAATATCCCCCTCTAGTGGCAGAAGGCGGAATAGCAGCTTCCCATTAGTTTCTATGGACGGAAAAGGGCAGATACGGATTAAATGGTTTTCAATGCATTCCTATGCGAAATGCAGATTCGACCTATGAACGTTTCGACCTACGAACCACCTTCCAATATGGATTAAGTTCGTAAGTTGAGAGCCCACTGTAAATGTGATGATGGCTATGGAATCTACCTGTCCTGGTAACTTCTGAATGCTCTAGTCTGACCCAATTAAGCAGTACTTCTAGGGAGTTCCACCTCCCCATATCATTTAATCATTGAATAATTGAGCTGGAAGTGGCCTATAAGGCCATTAAGTCCAACCCCTTGCTCAAAGCAGAAGTCCAAATCAAAGCAGATCTGACAGATGATTGTCCACTTTTCTCTTGAATGCCTCTAGCATTGGAGCGCTCACCACGTCCCAAAGTAATTTATTCCATTGTCATACTACTCCAACAGTTAATAGGTTTTTCATGATATTCAGCCTAAATCTGGCTTCCTGTAAATTGAGCCTATTATTACATGTCCTTCATTCTGGGATGACTGAAAACAGATCCTGCCCCTCCTCTGTATAATTACTTTTCAAGTGCTATCCTATTTTCTCTCAGTCTTCTTTCCTCAAGGCTAAACATGTTCAGTTCTTTCAGTCTTTTCTCATAGGGCTTGGTTTCCAGTCCTCAATCATCCTTGTTGCCCTCTTCTGAATTTGCTCCAGTTTGTTGCCATCCTTCTTAAAGTGCAGTGTCCAGAACTGGACACAGTACTCAAGGCCTAACCAGTGCCCAATAGAGGGGAACTAGTACTTCACATGATTTGGAGACTGTACTTCTGTTAATGCATCCTAAAATAGCTTTACCGCTTTTTTGCAGCCATATCGAGCTCATGTTCAGATTTTGATCTACAACTATTCCAAGACCCTTCTCACTGAGTCAAGTATCCTCCATCTTGCAACTGCATTTGGATTTTTTTCCCCTTAGGGGTAGAACTTTGCACTTACTCCTTTTAAATTTCATTCTGCTGTTTTCAGCTCAGCACTCAGCTCTATCAAGATCTTTTTGAATTTTATTCCTGTCTTCCAAGGTATTAGCTATTCCATCCAATTTTGTGTCACCTGCAAATCGGAGAAGTATTCTCTGCCCTCCCTCATCTAACTCATTAATAAATCATTGAAGAGCACCAGGCCAAGACAAATCCTTGTGGTATCCCATTTGTTACCTTCTCCCAGTCTGAGAAGGAGCCATTAATCAGAATATCATGGGGCATTTTGTCAAAGGCTTTGATGAAGTCAGATCCACAAGGTTAAGCACTTTTGACTCTCATGCCAGCTCTGCAAAGTAGAACTGTCCCCACACTCACAAAACATGCAAATTCCAAGTAGGATGATCAAGGCAAGGCCTGATTTTAAGTACCACAAACCCTTTTAGTCCAAACATCCAGACAATTAAATGGAGAGATATATAATTAAATATAGTGGAAAAGTCAACATGGCAAAAGGGTTAAAAGGTTTCAAAAATGCATCAAAAATATTTTGAAGCAAACAATTAAAATCTAAAGCAGGAGCAATACAAAATAAACACAGAAGAAAATAAGAAAGCTAACTAAACTACGTAGTACTTTCACACCAGCACAGCAGCCACAGAGCATGGCACAAAGGGACAACGGAGTACAGCATCTCCTGAAAGATAGCTAAGCTAACTAAACTAAAGGTGAACTTCTGTTTATCTTTTATTCATCACCTTCCAGACTTTTCAAGATGGTCTGCCAATCAGATTTCACGTTCTCTTGAATGTTCATGAAGACAAGAGCAGTTTCTGCCCCTCTCCATCATAGCTGAAGACATTCCCCAAATAACACAATGCCAGTGAACGAGCTGACTCAGGCTTGAAGTCAGCCCAAAAGATAAATCATAGGTGGTACTTCCATTCCTTTGTGAGCAAAAGCTTTTCCCTTCCTTTCTCTCTGCCAGGCCTTTCTAGGCATTGAGAAAAGGGAGGTGTAGCCTTTGGAGAAAACTAGGCAATCACCCAGAATGGTGGAGTGGAGAGGAAAAAATTCTAAAAGAAGTCACAGGCTCGAGTTTATAAGAACTGTGCAGGGCTGTTGAGGACAGGACATTGTGGAGATTTTTCATTCGTAGGGTCACCATAAGGCAGAGGTGATTTGACAGCACATACCAACAACCACGTTACTTCTTCCAAATTAATTGCCTTTTCATTACACTGAAAAATATATAAACATATATAAAATAATTATATATTTCCAAATGATCCCAGCAAACCAATGTTTTAGTAATAACAAGTAACTTTTTACACCAGAAGATGAGGATACTGTCAGTTCCTACATTATTTATAAACTAATAACATTGTTAATGTTGTTACTTTTGATAATACTGTTGCTTCATAAAGTTGTTACTTGAAACAAGATGAGGGTGATGCAAAAGTATCCTATTCAGTATTTGCTCAGGAAAGTCATCCATTCTTGTGTAGTTGCTGCTGCTTCCCTCTCTGGGCAAAAAAAAAAAGCACAGTTAGGAGGGCTGGTGTTAAATGGGGTTGTGAGGTCATAGAAATTGACATAGAAATTTCTGGCAACAAAAACAGAAGCAGGGAAAAGAAGGAAGTCTTAAAATTCTATCATTGAACCAGCTGGTTGCACAAAACATAAGGCTTCTTCGTTGCGAAGAAGGTTCATTGTTGAATGAAACAAATGGAAGCCTTGCTAATCCTGCTTTTTTTGCTTCTTTCTAACAACAAACACTGGTAATTATCAGAACAAATGCTCTGCCTGGAGACCAAAATATACATTCACTACTTCTGTAGTGAAACTTCAAATTATAATAGCAAATTGTTTTATGAATGGCAATAAATAAAAAGTGAGATTTTAAAATAATTTCTAAAATTTATGCTAGACTAGCATTTAGGTACAGGCTTTGGGTGCAGACAAAGGGAAAGTATGTTTTGGTACCTCCAAGGTGAAGCTGTCTATGGGTCTTGGTTAGCAGTGTGTAGGAAGAGAGCCCACTGCCGAGCAGGCTGGTGGTGATTAATAGAGTTGCCATTCAACAGAGTAACTTTCCAAAGCTCTGGGCAAGGGCAGCCAATGTCTATTCACTCAGGGTACTCTGTTCTTCAGCCAATAATGCTTCGAAAACAACTCTGAAACTGCTGACCTTAAAAAAATGTAAGCTTTCCCTAAGATAAGCCTTGTAATACTAACTTTCAAGAAAGGATCCAGAAGGGCTCTAATAAATTACTGTCCTACTGGCTTAGTGGTTATTCTGAGTACAGTGGTGGAAAGTGTTCTTCAAGGTAAAATAACATTTGAACATTAAGGAGACAAAAATAGTGACTTCAGAGTACTTACATATCAGCAATGTAAGAATTTGAAGAAATCAAATTTCAGAAAGATGTTTTTGCGTCTCAGGTCAGTCATCAGTCCAAATAGAGACTGCAAACAAGAAACCAGAAAAAGACTGAAACTCATAAAAGCAGCTATGAAGGAACTAGAAATGATCCTTAAATGTGAAAATATGTCACTGGAGACCTAAGCCAAGATCACATGTAGTGACCTTTCCCAGTTACTACGTACAGATAGGAAAGTTGGACTGTGGGAAAAAGTCATAGGAGAAAAGTTGACTCATTTGAAATGTAGTGTTGTGTAAGTTAGGGGTAAGTTAGGGGGTAACTACTTTGACAATTACTTGGTAATTGCTCTGGATGGGGGCCTCATTCTGGGGGTTTTCTAGTGAGGTATCTGATGTTTGGGGACAGCAGGAGGACAGCAGGCACACTCACTCCAGCCATCTGTCTACCTAGCGTCTCCCTCCAAATTAATGTAAAAAAATAAACACTTGAGTCCAGTAATTCATCATTGCACTGATACACTAATTCCATTCTAAATCACCTGTACACAGACAAAAAAGAAGGTTAAGAAAGGAGAGCTGGAGATTGGCCAGTGGAGGTATCAATGGAAGGGGCGGCTGTGAGCTGTAGGTGCAGAATTAACTGCATTGGACTGAGGGGCCAATGTGGAGAGTGGCACCAAAACAATCCAGGCTCTCTTTGTGGTCACCCGAATGGAATACAAGTCTAAAAGAGACTATGAATCGATTCACCACAAAAGTATAGTCACAACTTCAGATCCATCCGGAAGTTGAAATTTACTCCAGGAGTGGAAGGTATTGTCATTCACTTGGGTCAAGAAATATTTCCCAGTATAAACTGGGATTTATTTAATTTAACCTGGCTTTATTTCACTTCTGTTCCACCAGTGTTTTTCAGCTCTCATCTGAAAGCACACAGATGCGTGCACACACAGGTGGAGTGGGGCAGACATCCTTGACCCTTTGTTTTTTGTCTGATGGCCTCAAAGCCACCTCAACCCCCCCCACACACACACACTTCCAGATATGCTGCATTTTTTCCCTAGTTGGTTGACAACCTAATTGTTAAAAGCCCATCCACATGGAATTGGTTTAGCTGCAAGCTTGAATAATTCCATCTTAAATTGATGTGTTATGATTATGCACTATGCCTACTTAGCTACTTCTACTACATTCTGAATTGTTTTGAATTATCTTTTTTGTCCTAGGTAATAACAATAAAAGAAGCTCACATTTAATAAGAGAGGTGATGCTAAATCACTATGGTACATTCCTAATTTATGCCTTGTGCTAAGCAATACCCAGATAAAAATAATGAGATGTGTACAGATAAGGAGGTTGTTTCCACTGAGGTTTTTTCTGCCAGGGGGCTGAAATAAATTGCAGGGTGGAAACCTAAAAGGCAATGTAAATAATTTGAAAGCCATTCTGTCTGATCAGAATTAACTGTTTTATGCACAGTTAAATATGCACAGCACACGTTGTCTGGTTCACCCTTGCTGTCTGGCTGGCATATGCAGCTAAAAGATGTGGGATTTACTTGTCCCTGAAGACAATAAGTGTTTTTTCATGGCACACCAGTTCAATGAAAGGATAATCTCACTGCAGCGATATGTAAGGAAGCATGGAAAATCTCCCCTGTGCCCAAGGAGGTCATCGTGGTTGCACGATAAGATCTGACAGAAAATGTCTTGTATGAAAAGGTTATACAGCCTATCCTGTCACCTGATAAATACTGCATAACCAGCCTCCTCCCCCAAAGCTTTAACATTTCTTCTTTCTGCCAGTCTTCAAGTTCATCCATAATATACCAGTCATGCAGCAAGTACTCTAGGCATTTTCTCCCTTTTTGACACTACTCAGCCCCTGTTGAACTTGTTATATGCTGTAATTTAGGGATGCAAATCTAAACATGGTGACCAGGGTATATGCCTCAGTGGGTTGCCAGGTTTTGGAACTACAGTGCTTCCTCAATGAGTCTGTCTCCAAGAGGGATGAGAAATCTCAGGCCGAGTGCTGCAGCAGGAGGAGGTCTGATTTTATTTTTTATTTTTTTGTGGCCTACACACCCAGCTTGATCAATTCTCAGGTGGCACCAGAACTCACTGGTTTAGCGGAAAGGTGCTTATATGTATTTTGTGCTTGTGCAATGCTAGTATGCTAAGAGGAGGAGACCAGAAAGAAAGAGAGTGAGCTTTCTGCATGTATTTGGGTCCATTACACCACTAAAAGTAATGCAAGGAACCATCAGGGCTTGTGAAATGTCTTCTAGCACAGCCCTAGGAGTAATGGCATAACCCCTCTAAAACATTTCCCCATAAACTGCCATGAGTCTTCTGTGGATCTCAACAGCAACTTAAAGCTTGGAAAATCTCCACATATGTTGTGTGTGTTGTAGATGATTTAAACTCTAGTGGAAATTGTAGTAACCACTCCTGGGAAGATTTTGTATTCTACCCAGTCAATAAAGTTTTTCTTTTTCTAGCTTTGGGTTCTCATATTACCCGATCAGCTGAGTTTTACCCGGATTGTGGCTCTACTTGCCCAGATTCTTTTCAATTCCTGCGATCAGCTACCCTGAAAGCAGTTCCTGTCCCTTGTCAACCATTGTCTGCCCTGTTTCTATGACATCATGACTTAAACTTGTGACATGAAAATGACTCGTCCATTTCTTCCTCTATCAGGTTTTGACTATGAATATCAGGGAATGTAATGCTTCTGATTTAAATGGAACAGATCTCACTCGCATCTATTCCTGTATTCTGTTTGTTCCTGATTAAGATGAGGGGATATGAAGGGAGCTTCAGGTTCCAAATTTCGCTAAGGATCTCTTTTGCTTTTGGAAACCTTTTGGGAGCCTTGAGATGGAAATTTATATTGGAGAATCACCACTAGACTGGCAGCAGCAGTTCCAATCTGCCAGCAGTTTTATGATATAAAAGGCTTAAATCCCTCCCTCCCATCTTGAGACTCCCAAAACTTCTCAAGGGCAAAAAGGATCTCTAGGGAGTTGCAGAAGCTGAATGCATATGGGGGGGGGGGGGGAGAACAGGAAGTTTTTAAATTTAATTAAATTAAAGATATCAATCACTGGATGATGACATCATCTAGCTTATGTGGAATAAAGTTATGTCAACAGGATTTTAGTGAGCACTTTGATGAGATAGATATGAAAGGGTATCTGTACATGCAATATATATATTCAGGATACATTAAATATCTGAAGCTTTCCTCTAGGTTCCTAACATACATTAAAACTATCAGTAAGGAAATCCAGACAGTGGTGTGTTCTGACGTATGGTGTTGAAGTCCTTTTCGAAATGCAGCATCCCTTGTTGCTTCAAAGAAAGATAATATTTCTAGATCTACTTCCCCTTGCTATTTGTGGAACTGAAGGGCTGTGTCTAATACTTAGTGCAAAACCAGGTCACTCCATTTTGAATGGAAGCTTTTCTGAAGCTGTGTCTCTTGCTGAAAATGGCAGCAACAGTCTTTGTTCGCTTTCCTTTCTATCACAGTGGTGCCTTCTATTCATCCTGCCTCCTACCCCTGGGCATTTGTGCTCACTGACTTTAAGTCTAGCTTGAAGAAGTAAGAATCTCTCCTCCTACAAAATGAAACTTTCTCTAACAAGCTGTTCCTTTATTTTGTCACCTCTGTACATCACACAAGCAAAGCACAGTCCACTCATATTGTAGAGTACACAGAGGCCAGAATGAAAGACGTATGCCTTGCGCTTTTAGTAGAATCCTACAGCATTTGGGACTAGATGTTTCCCTTTAAATGTTGCTAGAGTTTGAGTGACAAATGTAAGATAGGGAGGAAGGAGAATTTGGGAATTATTTCATGGCTGGGGGCCAGCAGCCTTCAAATTGTTGATAAAATACTTTCACCATTTATTGCCTTTGGCCAGACTGGACAGAGCTGGTAGGAAAAAGAAGTCCAACAAGAAGCTCTATGGCTTTGGGTTAAAAGAGAGTAGCACAGAAATGTTGGCCTTCTAGATGTCTTCGTTTACAATTCCCCAAATTCCCTATGACTAACTGTGCCCAGTGGGCTGATTACAGTTGCACACCAAGGCATCTAGAATTGCAAAAGCTGCAAGCCTTTGCTTTAAGGACTTGCTAGCCAAAGTAATGCAGAGTTTTCTGTTTTGTCTTATTTGTAAAATCCAAGCATTTTATCTTGATTGCCAAGTACACTTTATGTCTCTTCTGCTTCTACAGAAATAGCACCTTAAAATATCAAAGTGAGCACAATCATACATTGAATTTTCAATTTCTTAAACTGTTGTAATAATTTAGATGTATTTTCTGTGTTATATGGCACCAAGATGAAAATGACTTATACAACCCTAATAGGGCTTTCAAAGTAAATGAGATATTTAAGGAGTCATTTTATCATTGCCACCCACCCACTCCAGTGAGTTTCCATGGCCAAGCTAGAATTTGAATTCAAGTTTTCTGAGTCCTACTCCTCTCTCTACTACACCACACTGGATACAGCATTAGCATAATGGCATCTTTAGGAATTACTGCTGTTTTCTTTGTATTTTTTGCATTCAGCTCTATTTTTTCATTTGTAGAGAATATGTACAGAAACCTCCTCCTTTGGGCAGGAGGGAGGAGACACCCTTTCTAACAACTGTAGAATGTTTAATGGGTGGTTCATGACCCAGCAGTGGTTACCTTCCTGAAGTTTTGGGGATGAGGTGTTCCTCTGCCACTCAGCCCCATCACCCTTACAATATACTGTAGCTGTTAAAGCATCCTGATGTGCACATACCTAGTTTTTCAAAGAGCAGTCATTCATTTTAAAGCCTTTTCAATTCTATTGTCTTTAAATAGCACTGGTATTCAAAGAAAGTAGAATACTAGTATACTTTCCAGCCAGCTGTCCTATTCATGTCGAGGTTATGTAGCTGTAATGGTCATGGCCACCCTAAGTTGAGGATCCATTAATAGCAAGTGCATACTTCAGCTTTTATGTAACAGAAATATTTTGCTATAGCCCGGTAAACTAAATGCACTTCATTTAGAGCTTTTTATAAAGAATCCCATTTAAA